ATTTGGGTGGGTTCCAACCTGAGCCATTCTCCTTCCTGTCCCTTCCCTCGAAGTCAGCAAGGGGTGGGCTTGAGGAAGGTTGGGATTCTGGGTAGCTGATTTGCCCAGTGAGGGGTCACCCCTACCTCACCTTATCCAGCCCTCCCTTCAGGCAAGGCCATTATCAGTCAACCACTGGCAGCACTGTGCATGTGAGAAAGCTAAAGAGGGAGTTACTAACAGTCTATCTCCTTAGCAGCCTGACCTACCATGGATCACATCAGAGAAGCCGCACACACACCGTCCCATTATGTGCATGGGACAAGGCTCAGCAGAGCTCAAAAAGCCACTTAAATCTACGCAGCAGTGACTCTTTCAAGAACCCAAAACATCCCCCAAACTAATAACCCTGACAAAGCACTGCTGCGGAAAATTCCTTGTGGATTTGAGATTTTCACTCTCTTAATCTCCTAACTCAATAAAGCACACACTTCTTGCAACAAATTAATACTTTTATGAAAGGGTTTCCTCCCCCACACTCTTTGATGTGGATATGGTTAGACCCCTCCAAGGGCCAAGGGCCTTGGGGTCTGTATACCACGCCATATTTCACATCTTTCAGTTGTTTTCTCTTCCTCCAAAGAGGCTCAGAATCCATTGGAATTTGCTGAATCTTAGATTCTGGAAACTTCTGAGACTTTTGGATTCTCTGAGGTGAATCCAGTCCGTTAGCTGAGAGAAATGTTTTTCATTTTTTGATGGGGTGCCAAGTCCTGAGCACATTGGACAAAGCACCTCTGCTTTCGCAGTTTACTTGAGGACCCAGCCAAGCTGTTTTGGCCACAGTGGGTATCTTGGCCAGTGGCTTCCTTGGGGTCCTTGAAAGGTTAACTAGAAATCAGAGTTAGCAGGGCAGAAAATTACAAGAGAATAGGGCGGAGGTGGAGAAAAGGAAGTTGAGGTGGGGAGGCCCTCCACTGCCCTCTCCCATGGCTTCTTGCCTCAGGTTGGCCTTTGGTGGCTCCCTTCTGGGGTCTGTCTGGTATCTGGTTATCACTTTTCTTACTAGAGTTTAACCCAGTTATCCTGAGGCCCTTCCCTGACCTCCAAAAACCTGCTCTTAACCTGCCTTGCAAATAGTAAATGCCAGAACCCTATAGTTTAAGACATCTTCAAGAGATGTCTCATGTCCAGTCAAGGTTTCATAGCTGGGTCTGCAGTGCAGAAGGCCATATACAGAACTGACACAGCAAGTTTGGTCTGTGTTGGCAACCAGGTTTCTAAGGGCTTTAGGCTTTCTTGATCAGAGCTCAACATGGCGGGGCTCCTCCTTGGAAATTATTGACAGGGTTCTGGGTGCCAGGGAAGGAAGAAGGCAGTCTCTCTTTCCTGGCCTGAGAAGGCCTTTCATCTTCTCTAGTCACCCACCTTGGGCAGAAGAGATCTACTTGTGCTCAGAGCAAACAGTGGCTTCAGCCCCCATCTACTCAGAGGTGTTAAGTCACAGTTAACCCAGGCTGGGCTCTGGTCATTTGAGCTGTCCTTCCCCAACTTGTGAGCCCTGCATAGAGATCTCGGGTCTGTAGCTGTCCACATTTAGCACCAATTCCAATAGAATTGCCTCTAGTCCTATATCATCCTGTGTAAGTCAAAACAAAGTCTGTAGAAGTTGAAGAGAACCTGGGGAAAGCATGATACAGTGCATGTACCCTGAGCTGGAATGTCACAGGCCTGAGTGAGGATCTAGACTCGGCTACCAGCATCTCACAACCTTGGCAAGATGTGTCCTTCTACACATCTGTAAAGCCAGATTTCAGTTCTGCCCGCTCTAAGGTCATCATACAGCTTGAAAGGAGCGAGCATGCAGTCTGCTAGCATGTTAGAGTGAACTGGGGAAGAGAAGAGGGTTACAGTCTATCTTATCAGGAGTCATTGACCAAGACACCCACTGTGGCCAGGACAGTTGGGCTGGGTCCCCAGGTAAACTCCAAATGTAGAGGTGCTTGGTTGGACTTGCTCAGCACCTGTCACTCCATCAAAAGAATGGCAAGCATTTTACTCCTGTGTGGCCTCCCCCCGTGAGGCCAGCAAGACCTTTCTTCCCCTCAGTGGCCCTGTAGAGAGAGGCAGGGAGATAAGAAGAAATGTGGAAATCTGTTCCCCCCTCTGTCCATCAACTTCCCAGACCAGAAAGGGAGTTGTCAGGCTCTGGGTATCAGTGTGAAGACCCAAGAAGACCTTGTTTGCACAGGAGCTAGTCTATATGTTTTCAGCTGGGGCACTATTGCCTCTAAGGAGGCAAAACATGGTTTTTAGGGGAGTGAAGATATGTCAGCTGGCACTAACTTCCATCTTTGCCAGCTTCCATCTTTGCTCAGCTCTACCTGACAAATCTTATTGCCTATATTTAATTTCTCTCAATGGAAATAAGTTGCATTAAATTTTAATTTAATCAATGGAGGGCTGGAGAGATGGTTCAGTGGTTAAGAGCACTGACAGCTCTTACAGAAGACTGGAGTTTGGTTCCCAGCATCCACATGGTAGCTAACATCCTCTTCTGGTTTCCATAAGCATTATATGCATGGATATACTTAAATACATGCAAGCAAAATACTCATACACATAAAATAAAAATAAATAAATCGGGGCTGTAGAGATGGCTCAGTGGTTAAGAATACTTGATGTTCTTCCAGAGGTTCCAGGTTCGATTCCCAGCAACCACATGGTGGCTAACAACCATTCATAACTCCAGTTACAAGGGATCTGACACCCTCTTCTGGACTCTGTGGGGCATTACATGCACATGGTGCACTTACATACATGCACATAAAGTAACATAAAACATTCATATAAAGTAAAAATAATAAATAAAATATTAAAATAAATAATTAATTTAATCAGGCTGCTTTGTTTTGGAGACAGGGTCTCAGGTATCACAGGCTGCCTTCAAACATGCTCTGTAGCTGAGGATGGCCTTGAACTTCTGATCTTCCTGCCTTTACCTCCAGAGTGCTGGCACTACAGACATGAGCTACCATGTTTGGCTTATGTGGCACTAAGGATCAAACCCAGGACTTTGTGTATACTAGGCAAATAATCTACAAGCTCAGCTGCATCTCCAGCCTGTATTCTAGTTTAATAAGGTTAATTAAAACTATTTTTCTGTACTAGAGAGATGGTTCAGCAGGTAAAGTGCTTTTGGAGCAAGTGTGAGAACTTGAGTTCAAATCCCCAGCATCTACATAAAAGCCATGGGGTGTGGTGTCTCACTTGTAATCCCAGGGTAGGGGAGGTAGAGTCAGGGAATCCTTGGAGCAAGCTGAGTAGCTAGAATAGCCAGACTAACCAAATGGGCAAGTGAGAGATGAAAAGATGGCTCAGCGGTTAAGAGCACTAGCTGCTTTCACAAAGGACCCAGGTTCAGTTCTCAGCACCCACATGGCAGCTAACAACCATCCTTAATTCCAGTTCTAGGGCATCCAATGCCCTCTTCTGGCCTCCATAGGCAGTGCACACATGTGATAACACATGCATGCAGGTAAAATGTGTGCTCCCACATGTGTAAACATGCATACACACACATCACCCATACATATGCAAAAAGAAAATCGTTCTTCTTCCAGGGGATGAAAGGCATAATAAAAACCGCAGGCTCTCAGCACCCCTCTGGGGTCCCTCTTGCTGTCCTTACCATTCCCTCCCCTCTTCTTGGTGTTTTGGTACTGCTAGCCAGCCCAGTTTGGCTCAGAGGTCCCTCAGCCTCAGTCACTGGCGATATGGATAGCACCAACGTTACTCAGACCCAACTCTGGTTCCTGTGACTTTACCATACAGTTCCCCACCAGCTCCTAGATCTACCTTCCTCTCTGCCTGTCCACACAGCTCTCTCTGCTCTTCCTGCTCTCTCTCTCTCTCTCTCTCTCTCTCTCTCTCTCTCTCTCTCTCTCGTGCATGCATATGTGTGTAGAGGCCCTAAGTTGACATCTGATGTCTTCTTCCATCGCTCCCTACTCTATGATCGAGGCAGGGTCTTCACTGAACCCAGAGCTCAGCTTGCAGATTCTGGATAGCTAGCCAACTTGCCCTGGGGATCCCCTGACTCTGCCTCCTGAATGCCATCACTCTTGTCTGACTTTTATGGGTTCTTAGAATCCAAATTCTGAGCCTCATGCTAGCTTAGCCAGTGCTTTAAACACTAGCTTTCCTCCATGGCTCCACCTTCGTAGCCCACCTTGCTTGTCCAGTCCCAAACTGCCAAACATGACAAGCCCAAGACCTTTTCATGTGGATTCTCCCTGCCATGAGACGTGGGAGGCCTCACACCTTCTCCTTCCTTCAGAAAGCCAGTCGTATCTATCTAGCCTGCTTGGTACTTTCTCTTCTATGACATTTAATTTGAGTCATTTGACATTAAAGAATATATAGCCTTACTTTTTTACTTTCTTCCTGGGTCTCATGGGTGACTGTTCTATCTTCCCGCTTGAATTTTCATTTCTGTGTGTATACATGTATGTGTGTATCCATGTGTATGTGCACGTATGTGGAGATCAGAGAACAATCTTGGGTGTCGTTCTTCATGTGCCTACGTTTTCATTTTTTAGTCAGTCTTTCACTGATCTGGAGTTCACCTAGTAGCCTGCTGGCTAGGCTGACTGGCCACAAGTTCCTGGGATCCACCTATCTCCACCTTTGCAGCAATGAGATTATAAGTGCACAAAACCATTGCCAACTTGCTTGACACAAATTCTGAGGGTGGAACTCAGTCCTCATGCCTGCAAGACTAGCCCTAAGCCCTTGTATTTTCATTTTTGACAATAAAGACAGCCATTTATGTTTGTTCCTTGGTATCCAACAGTTCTGGACGCCACGAATGGCAGGTGGGAGAGTCTTCAGGAACTGGCAAGCTTCCTGGCAGAACTCAAGATGTGAGGAGCTACTTCCCACCAGGAGAGTCAGTGCAGCCTGGGCCTCAGGCACCTGTTGGTGAGCCCCCTCTATCCCCATCCCATGCTGCCTCTCACCTGGCTGACTCCTTCCATTCCATCTGGTCCCCATCGTGCTGCAGAGTGTCCATCTCTGTGAAGAGGGTGGGGTTGGGAGCCTCATCTTCCTCCCCCAGGATGTCCTGGAGCTGCTCAGCAGCTGGAGACCCTGAAAAATAAAGGGGCCAGGATCTGCTGAGTGCCCTTCAGAGGGCAGAAGGCTCCAGAACACTGGCAGGGACACAGCAGGCACCAAGAGCAAGGCAGGAGTATTTCCTGAGTCTCTAAAGCTAAGTCCATCTTCTGGATCAGGCTGTACTCAACTCATGTCACTTTGGACTGGATGTGGCTGGTCTTCTTTGAGATGAAAGAGGTGAAAAGATTTGATTTGTATTTGAACTCCAGGGTCATGACTATGCTGGATAGATTAGTTGTCAACTTGACACACCTGGGAAGAAGGAACCTCAATTGAGGGATTTCTTCTATTGGATTGGCCTTGTGGATATGTCTATGGGGCATTTTCTTGATTGTTGAGTGATGTGGAAGGGCCCAGTCCACTGTGGGCGGTGCCATCCCTGGGCAGGTGGCCTTGTGTTGTGTAAGAAAGCAGGCTGAGCACAGGCCAGAGGAGCAAGCCTGTAAGCAGTGTTCCTCCATGGTCTGTGCTCCAAGTTCCTGCCCTGAGTTCCTGCCTTGGCTTCCCTTGATGATAGACTGTACTATAAGCCAAAACAAAAAACAAAAAAAAAAACAACCCTTCATCTCTAAATTGGTTTTGGTCAGTGTTTTTATCACAGCAATAAAAAGTAACTAGGACAGTGACAGTGAAGGCTGGAAAATGGTCAAAGGTCATGACAGCAGCAGGATCCAGGAACAAAAAAGCAAAGTGAAATGAGGGGCACTCTGACCCAACTTCAGCACCATAAACCTGGAAGTGAACTTTTCTCTACAGGGCCCCAAGGAGTCAGTGCCCAAAGGTGATCTGAGGAGACAGTCAGTCATGAGAAGAGATGTGCTTGCACCAGAATGTCTTCACTGGCAAGGCTGGCCTGATTCCTGACTGTCCTGCCTGCTGGCCAGTGGCACCTGTGAGTCACTTCCTAGTTGTCTCTCAGGCACCTCAGAGCTCAGCATCCTCATCCTCATCCTTCTCCCTCCCTTCCTCCTCTTTCCTTCTCTTCTTCCATCCTCCTCACCCTCTCTTCTTTCTCTTCTCTCTTATCCTCTGTCCCTCCTTCTCTCCTTCCCTTTTCTTCTCTTCCTCCCTTTCCCTTCCCTTCCCTTCCCTTCTTCCCTTCCCTTCTCTTCCCTTCCCTTCCCTCCCCTCCCCTCCCTTCCCTTCCTTTCCTTTCCTTCCCTTCCCCTCCTTTCCCTCCCTCCTCATTGTCTAGTGAATGCCCATTCCGTGCTGGGCACTGTGCTCGATATTGACAAATAAGCTGTAAAAAAGACCATCTATCCTCACCCTATTATGTTCTAGTGGCAAAGATGGATAGTAAACAAATCCGTAAATGACCATTGAAGCCTGCAGGAAGGTGAAAGAGGGTACCCTGGTCAGGAAAGACCCCCCTGAGAAGGGCATTTGAACTGTGACTTGAGAGAGGAAAACGAGCCACTTTGGCACATCTGGAAGAAGAGTGATTGAGTGTCAAAGATGCCCTAGGGTGGGAATGTATTGAGTAGTGTGGCTGGAACATGGTGAGCCAGGGAGAGGGATAGCATGGTGCCAAAAAATGACTGGTATCTTAGCTAAGGGCATTCCAGAGCTCCTCTGTCACCTCCCCTCCCCTCTATGTTAGAATTTTCAAGAATATTTTGTCCTTACCAGCACCTGATTTGGTCTCCCTTCTCCCAGTTTCTTTTCCTCCTCAGTTTCTCAAGCCTTCTGTCCTCACTGTTTTTCAGTGGGCCCCTAAAGGTCAATACTTTCAACTATTCTCTGATCACACCTTCCAGTCTCTTTCCCATGACTCCCAATTAGAGCCAGCTATTTTGCCCCCAAACAAGAATCCACCAGTCTTCATCCCTGCAGTGTGTCTGAGGGTCCCAGAGGGAGAGGCAGGGCACCCAGTGGATCTCAACACGAATCTCACGGTTGCTGCTAAATAATGAGAAAAGTCGGTAGGAGTGAACAGGGTCTGAGAGGAACAAATCAGGCACAGAGAACGAAACACCTGACACAGCAGCTCCTTAATGCCCCTAGCCACCATCCCCAGCATCCAGGCTCTTGTCCAGGCTCTCGACTCTGCTGAAGGGAGCCTCTCTGGGGTGCAAGTGGAGGCTATCTGCTCACCCAGTCCTCAAGCGCAGCAACCTTCTGCTCACCCTTGTGGGTGCCCTTCCTGTGCCCCTCAGTGCTGGTCCTGATCTTCTGATCTTCACTCCTCTTTTCAAGCTGCTTCACCAACTTCTACGCCATTTCCGCCAGAAAAAAAGGCTTGCAGGTGTGAACTCCAACAGCTTCTCCTCTTCCAGTCCTCATCCAGTTGCCATCAACTTTGAGCCAAAGACCTTCCTCGTGCCTAATCCGGGGTTCCATCATCCTCCTCTGCCTCCCACACCCAGCCCCTACCGCCCTCATTGCTTCAGAGTGCCCCATCCATCCCTACAGCCAGGGCAGAAGCAGAGTTTGCTTTTAAAGCATTTCTAACATGCTACTGGGGTAAACTGCTGGGCATCACCATAATCTTTGGGCAATACACAGTTTACACAAGTTAAAAACAATTTTACTAGCAGGAAGGACTTATCTGTATGTAGATCAACTGAATTCACTGATTTAAATGCGTTTGATTTTGAAATTTTTCTATTTTTAACTTTTTTCCTTTTTGTTAGCTTATTGAGTTTAAGGAAATTTTATAGAAGAAAACTGATCGTTAAGAAGACTCACATTTTTCTGCTTGATTCTGAGGAGACACACCAACTTCCCATGGGATAGAGTGCAGTAATTTCTGTTTTGGTTTTCTTGCTTTTCTGGGAATGTGACCCAGTGCAGAGCAAGCACTACCTCTGAGGTACATCCCCAGCCTCTTTAAGTGTAGATTTGCTCTTATGAGTGTCCATATGAAAAACTTTTCAATGGCTCTCCACTGCCTGAAGCTTGGGACTGGCGATATGGCTCAAAATATCATCTGTGATCTGGACCTAACCTAGCGCACCCTACTACCCTGGGTGCCATCGGCAACCCTGGATTCGAGCTGCCCCTAGCCACATCAGATCATTCTTGGTTTTCTAAAGAGGAGAACATTGCCACCCCTTGAGCCTCTGTGCCTACAAGTCTGTCAGTCTGGAACCCCCGACCCCCTTCAAGCCAGGAAGAACTTGAGTAAATGGACAGATCCTGCAGAGATGACAGGTTAGAGAATATGAACAGGGCAGAAGCCCATGCCTTAATCAAACTGTCTAGGCAGTACCTGCTCCCTGGAATAGCTGAGCGCTGGGATCTCCGATGGTCGGTGCTGCCTCCGGCCCCAGCCTGTTTCTGTGGCTGCCACCTTGGCTGCTGCCTCCTCCACAGGGCCTCCTCCTCACACAACAAATACTTTTGTTTCCAGTTAAGCAGCAAAGGTGGAGTGGAAGAAGCAGACTACAAGAGGAGGGTGGGGGTGGAGGAGGAGGGGGAGGAAGAGGGGGAGGAAGAGGAGGAGGAAGAGGAAGAGGAGGAAGAAAGAGGGAGACTGGGAGATAGAAAGGAATATGTGCAAAGAGAATAAAGGTGTCCTATGAGATTGTGTGGAATCATTTGAGAGAAAAATTAGTGAGTAAATGAAAGATACTGAGAGAGAGAGAGAGAGAGAGAGAGAGAGAGAGAGAGAGAGAGAGAGACTGAAGTGTGTGGAGGTTGGAGGCTCAGCAGTGAAGCTCAAGCAGGAACCTGACCGGCTCCACAGGGGTGGTGGCGGCTGACTGCCCCTTCCTCCCCTCCCCCAGGAGCCCTTCTCAACAGACCTGGAGGCTCCAGGAGAGCCAGGCACCTCTCCTCAGGCTCCTTTTATAAAGGCTGAGGCAGGAAGGTAGGATTTGTGCATGACCCCCTCTCCCCCCAGGGCTTCCCTAAGAGCCTTGTCAGCAGACCAGCTGGCTGGAGCTGCCTGCAGGCCTGTTCTCTCAGCCGCTGCAGCCCCAGCTGGGCTGGGAGTTGGGGCTAGAAGTTGGGGTTGTTGTAGGGAGGTGTTTGCTGTGGGCTGCTTTCACAGCAAGCAATAATTGGTCTATATCATTTGTTGCAGCTGGATTCTTTTCCAACTTCAAACCCAATTCCTGGTCTTCCTGTTCATACCCACCTCTAAGACAAAGGGCTAAATGTCACTTAGTGGGTGTTTTCTGAGAGGCCATGGACGATGGAAACTGGTCACCTTCAGGGGGTGTGTGAATTCTACTGGGGAATTATTTTGCTTCTCTGAGAAATTCCTAATCTGCTGGGTTTGGTGCAACAAGTTCTTACTGAGTGCTTAACATGTGCAAGGTTAAACAGAGGTCACTGTGCCTTGGCTCAAGGAGTTGGGAGGGGCTTAGTGATGGTGGAATCCAAACCCCTCAGTTCAAACTGAGACCCAGTCAGTGGATACCACTGAGAGTGTCCAGGCCCCGGCTAGGAGTTGACTTTGGGGAGAGTCAAACCCTCATACCTACACTGCCCCATGGCTGGATCCTTTGACCATATTTTCATACTTGAGGCTATAGGATCAAGCAGGCCCTTTTTGTTCTTGTTTGAGATGGGCTGAAATGTAGGCCAGGTGGGCCTTGAGCTGGCAGAGGCAGAAGATGAACTTGAAATCTGGTATGTCTGAGATTCCAGGCCCATGTCCATTGCCCTTGCTCCATTTTAGAGGGTGCTGAGGGCCTCTGATATGCTAGGCCAACCCTCTGCCCACTGAGCTGTCTCCCCTGCTGCTGGTTTTTGAGACAAGGTTTAGCTATGTTGCTTAGATTGGCTTCCAAGTTCCGGCCACCCTCCTGCATCACTCTCCCAAATGCAAGTATGTTCCACCATGCCCTGCTCTCAGTATGCCCATTTTAAAGCTGAAGAAACAGAAGCAAATGGTCAGGTCCAGGTGTTGAATGTGGGGCTCCAAGCAAGGCCACCATCACCTAGAGATGCAGTGTGCAACTCAGGAGTTTAGTTTTCAGCCCCTTGGAGGTCCTGTCTCACAGTTTGCACTGCACTAGGCAAAGGCTGCCCAGCCCCTCCTGAGTGCAGCTGAACAGCCTCTGCAGGACGTGCTAAGCCAGGGACAGAGGGTACCTCACCCAAAGGAAGATTGCCAAGGATACAGGAAAGACTCTGTTAAGGTACGGAACAGTCCAGATCCAGATTCAACTCCCAAAGCTGCAATTATTATCAGTAGCATCTTGGCAAGGTATTAAACACTCTGAGACTCAGTTTCCCCACCTATAGATCAAAAACTATCATACCCATTTCTCTGAATTATGGTGGAGAGTAACTGAGATAATACAAGAAGGTGGCTGGCACAGTGACTAGCATATACCAGTCATTTACATGATATTGCTACCATTTCTGCCTGCAGCTGCAACTCCCCTTCCCTATTACCATTCACCAGCCTGCCTCCTCTGAACATCCCAGTGGCCCAATCCTTTCCAACTTCCAACTTGCCCCTGCTATATATTCCCCACCCTTCTGCCCTGCCTCTCTCAGCATCCCTCTCTCCTACCCACATACATGCTGGGCCACTGCACATCAGGTTTTTCCTAAGACACTGTAAGCCCCATATACATGCAGTATGTCACAAACTAGCCCTCATCATAAGAAATGCCACAGGTAACATCCTCTCTGGTCTATAACTGCAAGAGGTACATACTGTGGGTCCCTGTAAGACCAGACTCAGACATTCAGGGTGTGGTGGCACACACCTGTAATCCTAGCACCTGGGAAATGGAGTCAGGAAAATCAGGAGCTCAAGGCCAGCCTCAACTATATAGTGAGGCCACCCTGGACTACATGAGTCCCTCTCTTTAAAAACAAAACAGAGGAGAACAACAGGAAAAAAGAGGAGGAGAAAAAGCAGGGGGAAGGAGAAGGAGGAAGGGAAAGGAGGTAGAGGAATAGGAGGAGCAGGAAAAAGAGTCAATGAGGAAGAAGAGGAGGAAAAGGAAGAGAAAGGAGGGGGAGGAAGAATGAACTTAGGCTTGATAGGGACTCCCAGTTGCTGGGAAAACATGTTTGGCAGGGCAGAACTTCAGGAAGCACATGGTGGAAATACATAGAGTGGTTCTTTTACTGAGTTCTTTTACTGTCTGGTCATACTTGGGCAGAGCACATGATGCTCTGGTGGCAGCAAACCCCTGCAAGTAGTATGGACTTTACCCTAGGAAAGCTTCAGGAGGCAGTTAGTGCCATGGGGAACTCCAGGCCTTCTGCTGTGAGCTGGCCTTTCTGAGACCCCCTCTCCCTCTAGCTTTGCAAGATCAGGGTCTGTCCCATTCACACCACTGCTGGTCCCTGACCCAGGGTTCACACGGCACCACAGCACGGGCACTTTGGGCACTTGGTAAATATTTGCTGGGTGAGTGAATTTGACTGATTAATACTCGTGAACACACCATAAGCGGCTTAGCTGCAGCAGGAAACAGCTAAATACCTATGAACCAGGAAACAGAGCTGGGAGATGGAGAGTGCTGCTGTAGGTAGCACAAGGGCACCGAATATTGGGGAGTGGGAGACAGATCCTGAGGGTCCAGAGTGGAGGGGATCATTCCTGCTGTCTGAATGAATTAAGTCTTTGAGAGAGGACCTGGAAGTCCCAAATCTGAGTTTCATGGCTGGTAAAGTTCCTTTTCTCTGAAGCTGAACATGTTCTCTGAAGAAGGAAGAAAGAATCTGTCCCCTGATGCCCACAGAATTTCCTCCTGTGGAAGGCAAATTTGGGGGTGTCTGCCAAGCCTGTGTCTCCCACCCATGAAGATGGACTTTGGCTCACACATGACCTCTATTCCTGACCACAGTTGATTGGATCAAGAGCAAGTAACTGGATACCTTGACCCATATCTGGAAAAATTGAATTTGGTGTCTGAGTAAACTGTTCTTTCCTGATGGTTCTTGGGAGAATGAGCTAGTAAACTGGAAGCCAACAGAAAAGAATATTGAAGAAACCTGTCAAGGAGCTGGTGGATGAGGCCATGCAGCCCCCAAGAGCAGAGACCTAAGGCCACTGCACCCTCCCACATAACCCTGCCTGTTCCTTCTGCAATAGTGAAAACTTCTGCCCTTGTCATATCAAGGGCCTATAGAAAGCTCCCTGGACCGAGACCCAATTCTTAGAAGTCTCCCCTTACTCCTGCTAGCTCTCTCTCTCAAGGCTTAGCTGCCCACTGAAGCTGATCTCTTGTAGACAAACTGTATGCTAAAGTAAGCTAGGCATGTGCAGACCCTCTCTTCTGAAACACACTCAAGTCCCCGGTCACAGAAGGCCATGCCTGGGTGTCTATCAGAAACAATGACCATGGCAAAAACCTGTCACAAGTCACCTTAAGCAGTGTAGAAACTTTGATCATTTCTGTCTTCTTTGGATCCATTGGACTGCAACCCTTGCTGGCCCAGGTGAATGAAGTAAGCTCATAACCAATGTTCCAGAAGAGATATTTTCTTCAAAACACTAGACAACTGAGTCATACCTTCTTCCAAAAGTTATATGGGGAGGTGGAGAGATGGTTCAGTGGTTAAGAGCACTTGTTGCTCTCAAGGAGAACCCAGATTTGATTCCCAGCACCTACATGGTGGCTCAGAACCCTCTGTAATTCCAGTTCCAGGGGATCTGGTGCCCTCTTCTGGTCTCCTCAGGCACTGACTACATGCACGTACATTCTCTCTCTCTCTCTCTCTCTCTCTCTCTCTCTCTCTGGCATACAAACACATGCATAAAATAATACATAAATCTTAAAGGAAAGTCATGTGGCCTGTTGTGGTGGCTCATGTCTATAATCCCAGCACTTGGAAAGATGAGGCAGGAGGATTATCATGAGTCAAGGCCAGCCTTGGTTATCCGGAATCTCCCTTAGTTCAAGGGGAAGGATGGTCATTTCAGAAGAGAGCTAACCATCTTCCAGCATTGCCTGCTGTTGTTAATAATAAAGTTTTTCTCTGTCATTCCGCCCTTCTGGATGGCCCTATCAAGTAGATGTGAACTGATTCTGTTGTAACACAGTTACAATAGAAACAATCTCTGTCTCTCTGCCCAATCCAGCTGAAGTAGTTTTCTGATACTCTGATAAGATCACCTTCTCAACCAGGAGTCTCCAGATAGGAAATCCTAGGATGTGGAGAGCCTTCCTAAAAACCGTAAGACTGACTGGGTGCAGTGGTACACATCTTTTATCCCAGCACTCTGGAGCCAGAGGCAGGTGAATCTCTGAGTTCTAAGGCAGCCTGGTTTACCTAGAGAGTTCCAGGACATCCAGGGCTATACAGTGAAACCTTGCCCCGAAAGAAAGGAAGGAAGGAAGAAAGGAAGGAAGGAAGGATGGAAGGGAGGGCGGGAAGGAGGGAAGGAGGGAGGAAGAAAGGAAGGAAGGAAGGGAGAAAGGAAGGGAGGGAGGGAAGGAAGGAAGGGAGAAAGGAAGGGAGGGAGGGAGGGAGGGAGGAAGGAAGGAAGGAAGGAAGGAAGGAAGGAAGGAAGGAAGGAAGGAAGGAAGGCAAGCCCGTCAAAGCCTAGGCAGTGGCCCTGGAGAAGAGAGGAAGCTCACTGGGTCAGGGGCTGGCAGAGCCAGGCTTGTGCAGGTCTAGCTCCTAAACAGTGCTGTGGATGGCACTAGGCAGATATCAGTGTGTTTGGGGGTGAGGACAACCTCAGCCAAAGCTTATTAATAAATTGAAATAAGGGGTCTTCGGCCAGGCGTGGTGGCGCACGCCTTTAATCCCAGCACTTGGGAGGCAGAGGCAGGTGGATCTCTGTGAGTTCAAGGCCAGCCTGGTCTACATAGTGAGTTCCAGGACAGCTGGGGATAGAGGGAGACCCTGTCTCAAAAAGACAAAAAAAAAAAAAAAAGCACCCAAATGGTGGCTCACAACAGTCTCTGAAACTCCAGTTCCAGGGGATCAGATGCCCTCTTCTGGCCTTCTTGTGCATTGCATGCACATGTGCACTTACATACATGCAAGCAAAAAATTGAGTGTATTTGCAATGTAAAACACCCCTATGGCTTCATCCCTTCAACAAAGCTGCTCATCAATGCACTTTCATTTTTTAAAAGGTTTGTAGGGACTGGAGAGATGGCTCAGTGGTTAAGAACACTGGTTGTTCTTACAGAAGACCTGGGTTCAAATCCCAGCACCCACATGGCAGCTAACAATTGTCCGTAACTTCAGTCCCAGGGGATCCGACAGCCTCTTCTGACTTCCATGGGTATTGCACGACACAGGTGCACTTACCTACATGCAGGCAATACACGCATGCACATAAAATAAAAATAATAAATTTTTTTAAAAAGTTTAAAAAAGCAAGGTTTGTTTTAATGATGTGTATGGAGAGTAGGGTATGTACATGTGAATTTAGGTGCCCTCGGAGTCAAGGTGAGGCCCTGGAACTGGAGTAAACAGGCAGTTGTGAGCACCCAACATGGGCGCTTGCCACCTTTGATAAGAATTAGCTAAGTGTATGTGGGTGGGTCACTGTAGTCCAGGCTAGCTTCAAACTCACTGTATAGTCAAGGATGACCTTGAATTTCTGATCCTCCTGCCTCCACCTCCTGAGTTCTGGGATTACATACACATATGTTCTCTATCATGCTTGGTCTATGTGATGTTAGGGACTAAACCCAGAGCTTCATGCATGCTAGGCAAGCACTCTCCTGACTGAGCCATACCCCCAGCTCCTTCAGGCTAACTATAGAGGTGATGCTGAGCCTATGGAGCATCGCCCACATTCTACAGAAAACCAGTCAGCCACCTGGCCATTCCCAGGCCCATCCAGACCCACCAGCAGAGTGGCTCCCAGAATGTGCCTGAAGGAACTCACGAGTCTTGTTGGTAAGATCCACACCGCCTGGGCTGGACACCTCCTGCTGTGGCTTGTCTGGCTGCAGGGCCCAGTGGACTTTTTGCAGGCCTGAAAGATGTCCCTTCAAATCCCTTTTTCTTTGAGAATAACTGGGGACTGGAAAACCAATGTGTATGGAGGGAAAATCTGTGGAGACAGCATGAAGGAGTGGGAGACAGAGTTACTAAGCAGTGGTGTTTCCCCATTCTATCCATCAGTTACAGAGACAGCCTCCGAAGCAAGATGAAAGACATGAGGTGTGTGGACAGGGCCAAAGCACTAAGACACAGAGTTGACAGAATTCTACCTGTGAACAGACTGGCAGGTGCTAGGAGGGCCCCCTCAGTGCTTTAACGTTCAGTGCTTTAGCCCCCGTGCTCTAACCATCAGTGCTCTAAACTTCAGTGCTCTAACAGCCCATGCTCTAATACCCAGTGCTCTAACCCTTGGTGCTCTAACCAGCAGTGCCCTAACGAGCAATGCTCTAAGCCCCAGTGATCTAAGCTCCAGTGATCTAAAACCCAGTGCTCCAATCCCTAGAGCTCTAACCCTCAGTGCTCTAAGCCCCAGTGCTTTAACACCAGTTGCTATAACAACCCCCAGAACTCTAACAACCTTCAGGGCTCTAACAACCCCCAGTTGCTCTAACCACCCTGAGTGCTCTAACCCCTAGTGCTCTAACTCTCAGTCCTCTAACAACCCCCAGTTCTCCAACCCTCAGTGCTCTAAAAATCCCCAGTACTCTAAAGCCCAGTGCTCTAACAAACCTCAGTGCGCTAACCCTCAGCGCTCTGACTTCCAGAGTGCTAACCTTCAGTGCTCTGACCCCCAGTGCTCTGACCCTCAGTGCTCTAACCCCCAGAGCTCTAACCCCCAGAGCTCTGACCCTCAGGGCTCTGACCCCCAGTGCTCTAACCCCCAGAGCTCTAACCCCCAGAGCTCTGACCCTCAGTGCTCTGACCCCCAGTGCTCTGACCCTCAGTGCTCTAACCCCCAGAGCTCTAACCCCCAGCGCTCTAACCCCCAGTGCTCTAACCGCCAGAGCTCTAACCCTCAGTGCTCTGACCCCCAGAGCTCTAACCCTCAGTGCTCTGACCCCCAGTGCTCTAACCCTCAGTGCTCTGACCCTCAGTGCTCTAATCCCCAGTGCTCTAATCCCCAGTGCTCTGACCCCCAGAGCTCTAACCCTCAGTGCTCTGACCCCCAGTGCTCTAACCCTCAGTGCTCTAATCCTCAGAGCTCTAACCCTCAGTGCTCTAACCCCCAGTGCTCTAACCCTCAGTGCTCTAACCCCCAGTGCTCTAACCCCCAGAGCTCTGACCCTCAGTGCTCTGACCCTCAGTGCTCTAATCCCCAGTGCTCTGACCCTCTGTGCTGTAACAACTCCCAGTGTTCTAAGAACCCCCAGTGCTCTAACCCTCAGTGCTCTAACAACCAGAGCTCTAACTCTCAGTTCTCTGACCCCCAGTGCTCTGACCCTCAGTGCTCTGACCCCCAGTGCTCAGAGCTCTAACCCCCAGAGCTCTAACCCTCAGTGCTCTAATCCCCAGTGCTCTGACCCTCTGTGCTGTAACAACTCCCACTGTTCTAAGAACCCCCAGTGCTCTAACCCCCCGTGCTCTCACTCTCAGTTCTCTAACAACATCCAGGGCTCTAACAACCAGTGCTCAAACCCCCCAGTGCTCTAACCCTAAATGCTCTAACAACTGTCAGTGCTCTAACACTCAGTGCTCTCACCTCCTGTACTCTCAGCCTCTATGCTCTAACAAGCCCCAGTCCTCTAACCCTCAGTGCTCTAGCCCCAGTTATCTAACCCCCAGTACTCTAAGCCACAGTGCTCTAGCAACACCCAGTACTCTAACTCTCAGTGCTCTAACCCCCAGTACTCTAAACCCCAGTGGTCTACCCCTCAGTGCTCTGACCCCCAGTGTTCTAATACCCCCAGTGCTCTAACCCTTGGTGGTCTAACCACCAGTGCTCTAACAACCTCCAGTGCTGTAACCCCCAGTGCTCTGAGAACCCTCATTGCTCTAACAACCCTCAGTGCTCTAACCCTCAGTGTTCTAACCCCCAGTGCTCTAAAAACCCTCAGCTCTCTAACCCCCAGTGCTATAACAACCCCCAGTGCTCTAAGCCTCAGTGCTCTAACAACCCTCAGTGCTCTAACTGACAGTGCTTTAAACCCCGGTGCTCTAACCCACCATTCTTTAACCCACAGTGCTCTAACCCCTACTGCTCTAACTCCCAGTGCTCTAGCTGGAGTTCTACTAGAATGCATGAACTGCCCATCCCTCTATTCTTGTCTCTCTATAGCAATGCCTACTAGATATGTTGAGTTCAAGGGAAAAATCAAATTAAAAAATTGAAGCGTGGGGCTAGAGAGGTGGCTCAGCTTTTAAGAGCACGTCCTGCTATTGCAGAGGATATGGGGGTCGGTTCCTAGCACCCACATGGAGGCCGATAGCTGGCTGTAACTCCAGTTCCGGGGGATCTGATAGCTTCTTCTGGCCTCCCCAGGCACTACACACATGTGGTACACTCACATGCAGGCAAAACACTCATACACATAAAATATAAATAAATCTCTTCACAGTTACCCAATCATGTGGTCCCTTACAAGCATGTCCCACATTTCAACGATGTCACACAATACTGTGACACATCTACAAAGTTCACACTCAAGAAATGCATAATAAAGCTACCAAAAAAAACCCTCATTTTTTCACATGTGTATGCATATGTAGTGTATGCATGTTCATGTTACATATGTATGTGCAGGTGCATCCTGTGTGCATGTGAGGCCCAAGATTGATGTCAGATGTCTTCCTTAATCACTTTCCACCTTCCTTACTCATTGAGGTAGGGCTGCTCACTTGAATCCAGAACTTGCCGATTGAGCTATAGACTAGCTAGCCAGCTTGCTCTGAGGATCCCTTTCTCTGGGTCCAAGCGCTGGAATTACAAGTGGTCAGCACATCCGCTCAGCGTTCACTTGGGTTGTAGGAGTCTGAACGCCAGTCCTCACACTTGCACAGCAAACGCTTTACCTGCTCAGTCATTTCCTCAGTCTAGCTAATATTTTGATTTTGTGTTTGATTTTGTGTTTAACCACATTCATAGCTATCCCCATCACATGCAGGGTTTGACACGGCAGCTAGGATATGGTCGAGGCTTGTCCCACCAACTTCAAGGACACATGCCCAAAAGTCAAGAAAAGGGACGGCTCCCTGGACTCTCCAGCTGGAAGCACTGTTGTAAGGAATTCTCAGACCTTCCTGGGATTCACATCAAGTTTTCACAGTGTCTTTACCTGGTTGTCTCCTCCTGTAGCTTGTGGGGTCCAGCTTTCTAGCCCCTACCTTCTCTTCTTCCACCTTCATCACTACAAAGGAAAAGATGCACACTGCCTCAAAACACATATGATAAAAAGGGGCAAGGGAGATGGCTCATGCAGTAAAGTTATGCCTTGCTAACACGAAGACCTGAGTTTGATCCCTAGAACTTATTTTTTTTCATTTGTTATTTTTATTTTATGTGTATGAATGTATTGCCTGCATGTATATCAGTGCACCTGTGTCGTGCAATGCCGCGGAGGTCAGAAGAGGGCTTCGGATTCCCCTGGAACTGGAGTTAAAGGACGGTTCGTAGCCACCATGGGGGTGCTGGGAATCGAACCCCGGTCCTCTGCAAGATCAGTCAGTGCTCTTAACCTCTGAGCCATCTCTCCAGCCCCTAGAACTTATTTTTTAAAAAGCTAAGTATGGCCGGGCGTGGTGGCGCACGCCTATAATCCCAGCACTCCGGAGGCAGAGGCAGGCGGATCTCTGTGAGTTCAAGGCCACCCTAGTCTCCATAGCGAATCTGGGCCAGCTGTGGCTACGGGGAGACCTTGTCTTAAAAAGACCAAAAAAAAAAAAAAAAAAAAGCAAAGCTAAGTATGGTGGTACACACTTGGGAGAGGTGGAGACGGTTGTATCCCTGGGGCCCACTGGCTGCCAGCCTAGCCAAACCTAGAGTTTCAGGTAAAAGTGAAAAACCTTGTCTCAAAAAACATCCTGAGGGGGGCTGGAGAGAGGGCTCAGCAGTTAAGAGCACCTCTGCTCTTGCAGAGGACCTGGGTTCAGCTCCCAGCACCTATATGGCGACTTAACAACCATCTGTAACTCTAGTTCCAGGGGATCCAATACCCTTATGCACAGGACAGGACACACTTTTATGGAGGCAAAGTATTCATACACATAAAAATGAAATGCCATGACAAACTACATATAAAAGCACTTGCTGCATAAGCCCCGAGTTTGATCCCTGGAACTCACAGAAAAGTGAAAGGAGAGAACCAACTCCACAAATCTGTCCTCTGACCTCCACACATGTGCTGTGGCATATACAACAGAGAGAGAGAGAGAGAGAGAGAGAGAGAGAGAGGGAGAGAGGGAGAGAGAGAGAAGGAAAGAAGGAAGGAAGGAAGGAAGGAAGAAGAGGAGGAGGAGGAGGAGGAAGAAATTATTTTTCAAAGACAGGCACTAGGGACTGGAGAGATGGCTCAGCAGTTAAGAGTACTGGCTGCTCTTGCAGAGGACCTGGGTTCAGCTCCCAACACCCAAATGGCAACTAACAACTATCATAACTCCAGTTCCAGGGGAATTCGACACCCTCTTTCCACCTCTATAGGCATTTCATAACCCAGATGCCCTTACATACATGCAAGTAATACACTCATACACATAAAATAAAAATAAATAAAATATAAAAAAAAATAGAAAGAAAAGACAGGCACTACTGGAATGCAGTTCATCCCCTTCCTCTCCTCCTTTCCAGGAACACAGAACCTGGACACAGACTCTGAGATGGAGCAGCCATGTTGTAGGATGGGCAAGTATGAAGACCACAGATGGAAAGCAGCACTGGACCTCCCTGAGGTCCTCACAGGGTCCCTGCTTTCTGGACTGCTTATTTCTGAGTTTTATGTCTTGAGGGGAAATATTGACCCTATATTTAAACTAGTAGCCATATTTTATGTTATGTTTTAAAAATGAATGAACTAGATCTCTACATACCAAACTGTATAAATATCAAGAAAAATACATTTTAAAAAAAGTAAATTGTAAAGAGTTACAAAAGGGGGCACTGAGATGGCTCAGCTGGGAAAGGTGCTTGCCACTCAAGTTTGATGGCCTGAGTTCAATCCCTGGAACCCACATAAAGGTAAAAAGAAAGAACTGACTCCTGTAAATTGTCCTCTTACCGCCATACATCCTCACATGTGCTATGGCAAGCATATGTATACACACATCATACATCCACATATACATGATAATACATAGAAATTATTTAAAGTTACAGACAAAATAATTCTTATTTAAAACTTAAAACCATGAAACTCTACCAGTATTGCTTATTGCTACAGCTATGACTCATGAAAGCATAAATCAGGCAGAGGAATGTTACACAAATTTCAGTTTACCACAAGGGACAACAGATAAGATTTAGGTATATCTTTGCTGTTTGCATAAATAGAAAAACTGTCATCATCATCATCACCATCAAAAGGGATGGGTAACCAATAGAAAAAGCTGGAAGAATTCCTGGTATAAAACTGTAGCATGTGGGAGGCCAGGGTGGAATCTACTACTTTGGATCATATATTCTCACATGTGTTAAGACTGAGGATGTAGCTTAGTTGGTAAAGCGTTTATCTAGCATGCATGAAGCCCTGGGTTCCATCCCCAACACTGCATAAACCAGGAGTAGAGGTGCACTCTGTAATCCCAGCATTCAAGAGGCAGAGGCAGGAAGATCAGAAGTTCAAGGTCATCCTCACCTACTAGACAAGCTAGAGGTCAGCCTGAGTTACATGACACACTGCCTCAAATTTGTTAATTTTTAAGTTGAAATGACATATTTTTATTCTAAATATTTTAAGACAATTTAATATGACACATTTACTAATCTGACTTAATTTTCTTACAGACATATACCCCCAAATATATTTGGATTCAGTAATTTAATAATGATAATTACATCCCTAAAACTTCATGGTTAAATCTATTTGTCCAAAATGAGTCATGTCTTTTTTTTCTTTTTTTTTTTTTTTGAAAGGACATGAGGATGATTTATTTGGCAGTCAGACCTTAAGAGGGCAGCAGAACTAGCAAATGGCCAACCCTGATGTGGGCAGTGGATTTGCGTGTGCTGGATGCTGGCTATGCTGAGGCACCTTTGGACCCACGGGTCTGGACCCCAACTTCTGTCCTCAGAGGTGTAGTTGTCCTCCCAACCTTCCCAACCTTCCCATCTTTGCATCTTTTACCAGCTACTGAGCAGCAGCTTCATTAGCCACCTACCCATAAGGCAGGTAGCTCCTTTATCCCCATTTATTTCTAAGGAAGAGAGTAGTGAGTCTTCTTTGCCTTAAAAACAAAATGGCTCACCGGGATCAGTTTTGCTACTTCCTCTCTTTTCCTCCCTCCTCCTTTCTCCACAGTGCCTTACTACCTTGACACTGTGCCCCTCCCAACATGGTTACCCCACACGGAGTGGCTACTCTCAAAGGCTCTGTGCTGGGGTTTCCCTTTGTGAGTAAGGAGCAGGAGGAGTGAATAACTTAACTACAATAGCACTGAGAAGAAAAAAATAATGCTGCTATTTTTTATCATGATCCCCTGTATCTTTCAGGCTGGGTAGTGCCCCCGGCCGCAGACAAGGTGCCCTTGTGTGGTGGTGTCTTCCTCCACTGGCAGAGCAGAGCCCTCTCTAAACAGGCCCTGCATTCCTCTGTCCTGACTCCAGGGCCAAACTGTAGGGGCATCTACTCTCTCACTCTGACCAGCTGCAGTTTTAAAGCTACAGGACATTGTAAATGTTTGTTTCCCCGGCCCAGCAAGGCTTTTTCTCCTCTTCCACTCAGAACTGTCAGCATCTTCTTGAAGCCTCCTATGCCACTGGCTGTGGCGGCCTCTCTCTCACCAAGGGGTTTCAGCCCTGGTCCTGGTCCCAAAAGATAGAGGAATCCACCTAAAATGAGTCATGTTTAAAGGCTGGAGAGATGCTCAGCAGTTAGCACTAGCTGCTCTGGCAGAGGACCTGAGTTCGGTTCCCAGCATGGAAACTCACAACTGTCTGTAACTCCAGCTCTAGGGGATTCAACACCTCTGGCCTCTAAGGGCACCTGTACTCACATGTAAATACCCCCAGGCATACATCTAGTTAAATAAAACAAATCTTTTTTTAAAAGACAACAGAAATACATGACAAAGAATTCTGTAAGGCAATGGTTTTCACATGAGTTTGAGGTGGTGTCACTCCAGTAAGTTTCAGAATTAAAGTTTCCCGGGCTCACCCACAGAGTTTCCATGAAGTTGGGGTGGAGCCAGCAAGTTCTTGGTTGATGTTGCTATAGGGACAGATTTGAGAGGGCAGGACAGGCAGGAGTTTTCCTATTCTTGGCCCTCTTTATAATGAACTGTATAGAAAAAGGAGATTGTTTATTAAGGAGAGATACAAAGGAGCCTGGGGTTGTGCCAGACCTCACTTGTGGCCTGGCTGTAAGACGTCAAAAGGGCTGAGGTCATCGTGAGGCTGCAGTGAGGGCTGAGGTGATGTTTTATAGATCATTTACATAGTACCCACCTCTATCCAGTGTCAGGCGGGCTTTCCTGAACAGGCTCCCTTGACTGAATGAAGCTCAGGTGGTCTGAGGGCTGCCAGTCTTTCCAGCATTCATCTCTGGACCCTCCTCCACCCGGTTTCCTCTTCTGCCTTACTGTCATCTCTGGACCCTCCTCCACCCGGTTTCCTCTTCTGCCTTACTGTGCCTGCTAATTAGGAACCTTTAATGGATGTTTAAAGGAAATACATCCAGTTTATATTTTCTATTCAGTTGGGTCGATTAGAAGATCAAGAATATTTTACATATTTTGTGGGTGCACGCTCATAGCACACATGGGGGAGGTCAGAGGACAACCTGCAGGTGTAGGCTCTCTCCTTCCACTACACAGGTCTCAAGGATCAAACATAGATTGACTGGCTTAGTGACAAGCACCTTTACCTGCTGAGCCATCTTGCCGGCCCCAAGTTGATGGTTATTTGAACCCTGATCTTTCTCCTCCATCTCGGTGTGATGAGTACAGAGAAGCTGAGTAATAGACCCCTTTCCCATGCAGAAGCACCTACAACACTGGAGAAAAGCCGACTCTACCTTTGCAAGAGCGAGCCAAGTAGGAAATACCAGGTCACCCAGCATAGCCAAACACTCCTCAACCCCAGCTACAGAGAATAATTCCAGGGTGATCAGAGTATTCAATCAGAATTCCCAGGACGTTTGGGATTGATTCCTTCCAAACTCTGAGAACCGTGGCACTGGTTCTGTGAGCTGTTTGAT